ATCTATATAATTATTTAAAATATACAACTCAAAAGATTTTATTACTTGTGACATTGGTTGTTTGTTATTTATTTATTTATTTATTTTTTGTTTCTTTTAAAATGCCTATTTGTTAATATTTCAAACAATAAATATTAGTAGTTATTAAATTCAATCTATTTTTAAAAAAAATTATTAAAAATTTTAAATATAAAATTACAAACGCATTGCTTTCAAACTAGAGCCTAATAATGAAATTAGAGAAGCAAGAGGGAAGGTGAGCTTGCGTTGACGGCACATGAATTCAAAGATTAAGGTTTTGTTTGGGGTGTACTAATAAGCACACTTTTTTTATTTTTTTTTATTACACTATCTTTCTATTTTTCTGTACATCTTTTCATAAAAATTTAAAAAATACATTTACTTAGGTCATCCATATAAAATTATAAATGCATCACTTTCGAATTAAAGTTGGCTCCTAATATCAAAGAAGTTGGCTCCTAATTAATATATCAATTGATCATGTGATATAATTTAAGAAATTTTTTATATTTTAATTTATATAATGAGTAGGGTCAAGAATAATATCATAATTAGTATTAATACACTAATTGGTCTACTAATTGATGTATGTAACACTAACGATCTAAAAATATTTGAATTTTCTTTGGGAAGACTATTACCACTACAACAAAAACATACTTTAGTGGCACTACACTAGTGGCATATTTTTAGAAAATGTCACAAAAAATGATATTTAGTGGCACGTTTTTGAAAAATGCCACAAAACGACAAACATAAAAGGCTCTAGTAACATTTCAATGAACAAGTGTTACAAAACTATAACAAAAACATACTTTAGTGGCACTACACTAGTGGCATATTTTTAGAAAATACCACAAAAATAATATTTAGTGGCACGTTTTTGAAAAATGCCACAAAACGATAAACATAAAAGGCTCTAGTGATATTTCAATGAACAAGTGTCACAAAACTATAACAAAAACACACTTTAGTGACACTATACTAGTAGCATGTTTTTAGAAAAGGCCACAAAAATAATATTTGGTGACATATTTAGATAAATGCCACAAAGCCACAAGTGGCATTTCAATAAAGAAATGTCACATCAATTTTATGACATTTAATAAAATAATGACACAAAAAATTATGTTCGTGACATTTACCAACAGATGCCACTAAACTTTAGTAGCAATGGCATTTTTTAAAAAATGTCAGGACACTAGGTAGGTGCAAATTACTTTTTATGGCACTTAGGTGAAAAGTTTCATAAACAAATATTTTATAGCATTTTGAGAAATGCCACTAAGTCAAAAACTTTTCAAGCTGGCATTTTTGAAAAAACAAAAAATGCCAATATATTTTTAAAATTTTTACAATGCGTAAATGATTAAAAATAAATAAATAAAACTCAATATACACTACAGGAAAAAACATATTCGACGACTAAATTTCCTGACTAAAAAAAATTTGGTCGCTGAAAGTATAGCTTTCAGCAACCAAAATAGTATTAGTAGTCAAAAGTAAAACTTTTTGGCGACTAAATAATTTTAATAGCCAAAAGTCTACAATTGGCGACCAAAACTAAGTTTGGTCGCTGATTATATGGGTTTTACTGACAAAAAAAATTTTAGTAGCCCAAAGTAAAGTTTTTTTGGCAACTAAAAAAATTTAGTAGCCAAAAGTCTATAATTGGCGACTAAAAATAAGTTTGGTCACTGATTATATGGATTTTACCGACTAAAAAAATTTTAGTAGCCAAAAGTAAAGCTTTTTGGTGACTAAAAAAATGTTAGTAGCCAAAAGTTTATAATTGGCGACTAAAAAATAAGTTTAGTCGCCAAAAGTGGTTATTTTTAGCGCGGGAGAACTAAAATCCTAAGGCGGGAATTAAATTTTTTGGTGACCAAAATTTTGGTAGCTGAAAGTGCATCTTCGGTGACCAAATCCGATTTTGGTTGGCAAAAGTTAAGTTTTTTAGCAACTAAAAAATAATTAGTAGCCAAAAGTATAGAATTGGCGACCAAAAAATATTTTTAGTCGCCAAAAGTGATCTTTTTTTATTTTACTAGTAAATAGTTTATTTTACATAAATTATGTTCAATAAAATAATTACATTTATACATATACTTTTATATTAATATAGATGCAAGTACTATATAAATAATATATGTTGCATATATAATCATATGGTGCTATAGAGGTGTAGTGGGAAGAGTGTGGTGCATAAGATTTATGGTGCGGGAGGTTGACAGTTCGAGTTTCTGCAAGAGCGGATCAAATTGTTCTACAACGAATTATCGTCACGAATGACACTTGATAGCGTCACGAATAGTGCTTACCATGACATTAAAGTGTCACTGTGTAATGACACTTATAAGTGTCACTAACTCATTTTTTAATGACGCTTGATAGTACCACAAATAATATCTACCATGACATTAAAATGTTATTGAAAGTTTTTAGCCATGATGGTGCAGTGACACTTGCAAGTATCTACCGTGGTACCGATAGAAGTGACACTTGTTTAAAATGCCACAAGACTAAAAAATATTATTAAAAGAATAGTTTTATGACACTTTCAAATATTCCTAAACTAAAAAAATATTATAGTGTGCACAAACAAGTCGTAAGGGTCATTTTATTAAGGTCATTTGTTATTTATATATGTTTTTAATTTATCACGATGACTATGATTATAATACGAGGTATATCCATCCACGAATGCATGTATTGTTTCTTTCGTCTACTCTTTCCTCGTGCGCTTTTACCATGTCACTAAATTGACAACTCTTGTCAACTTTCTCCTTTACTTTATTCAAGAAATATATAATCACTTATCATTCATAAAAAGATGAGATTTTGGTTTACTGTAAGTTGAAGAGGTATAATTTGGGTGTGTGTGCTGGGTCTCACTATGTAATTTGAGTCGTTTATTTTATAATTTTGTGTATGAATCATATATTAAAAAAAACACATAAATTTTGTAAAAGTTGATAATTTTTTTGAATATAATAAAAATATATAATTATAATTATCGAATCAATTTAATTTTTATAAATAATTTGCACATAAAAATAACGAAGTAAATAATTTAGATTATAAAAGTGGACTCTTAGGCCTAAATTAGATTCTTCCATCCATAATTTTACCCATCTAAAAAACAAATACTTAGAAAAGAGTGTTTAAAATTTAAAATTAAATTTATTTTGATGTGACTCAGATAACACATTCAAATTATGAACATTTTTTTTTTTTTGGAGTAGGTAACATTTGTAAAAAAAATTAACTAACAAACAAATGTGGACTTTGTCACACATAGGCATTAAATTAGGAACGTCATAATTAAGAAAAATGTTTGAGGGTTATAAAATCAGTGGCTCAAATGGCTCGAAACTGCCAAAATAACGTCGTTTTGACTTGTTTTAGTCACTAAATTTCGGACCACCAACCATTGCTACATAATTAATTAAGGTGCCATTATCTTTCAAAAACCAAGTCCTTTCCAAAGTGGTGTTGGACTATTTCTCATTGCTTAGTTCATGCCAATTTCTCGTTGTTTGAGTCTGTGGATTTCATGAGAGTCTCGTTTTGACCCTTTAAATAGTTTATTTTGTTAGGTATTTCATATATTTTATCTATACAAAAAATTAAGTTGATTTAGTATTCATAATTTAGTTAATTTATTATGTTTTTGTCACACAAAAAATAGATGACAATTGTGTTTTTTAAAATAAAGATCCATTTTTTTGGTAACAAAAGTGATAAATTGATTATGTTACAATTATCGGATCAAAATTTTTGTGTAATAAAATACACAAAATGTTCAATAAAAATAAACGATTCAGATTATCGTAACGAAATTTGTGGTGGGCCTTGCGGTCCTAAACAACACCATCTAATAGGGGTGTTCAAAATAACTAGAGAATCAAAGAACTGAACCAAATTGACCTCTTTGGTTCTGGGTCTTCGAATTGGTTTGGTTTGGTTTTTTAGTGCATTGGTTTGGTTCCGGGTCTTCAATTGTCAAAATTGGATTGATTTTTTATTTAAGCCTTATCTAAATAGAACCAACTTGAGAATCGAACCTATATATGTATATACATATATATATATATATATATATATATTAATTTTTTTATTATATTGACATGTTTTTATATTACCATGGTCTTATATGTTACTTCAAATTCCTATTTTCATGATGTCTGTGCAATTGAACAAATTTTGAATGATTGGTCCAAGAGTAATAAACTATACTTCAAGGTAAATAATTTAGCTTATTGACAAGGTAAGGTAAATGATTTAGTGTGAAGAATAAAAGAACTCATGAACCATATGTAAGCGTATTATAAAATGTTAAACTCTGCTTCAAGTTCTTCTTTAAATAGGATGAGTCAAAGTTCAAATAAAATAGAAGTTGATAAGCCCGTGATAGTAGTTGTGGTGATATTGTGAAGCCTCTTACATTGAATTTTTAAAGCACTTGGAAGAAGAAGAAAATATTAATGCAAAATCAGAGGTAGACAAATCAAAAGAAAATATTGATTCAATTATTTTTAATATAATGAAACCGTGGTTCTAAACTGAATCAACCCGACCTACATTGAGTTGGTTTGTATTAATTCTAGTGCATAATTGGTTTGATTCTAGTTTCAAAAATTTGGAACCGATCATGATTGAATTGATTCCAAAATTAGTATCAAATTGAACCAAACCGACTCACGAACATCCCTACCGTCCAGTCTAGTTTGTAAACTGGAAAGGAGCTGCCTATAAAAAAAAAAAATAGAGATAAAATTACCAACTATAGCAAACATCATTAATAATTTCAATTGCACAACTAGTATATATGCTCAGTCTTACATAAAAATATATAAATATATGAGATAAAGCGATCCTCTTTCCAGGAAATTGCAAGCTAGGCAATTTTGAATAACTAGAACTGCCCTTGGACTATTCTACATCTTCAGTATAAATACCCCCCCAACCCTTACCCTTCTTTTACATACACACTTGAACTATTCTACAGCTTATTTTCTTTTACAAACAAAATAACAAAACAAAACAAAGGGGAGAGAGAGAGAGACAGATCAGCAGAGTGAGTCCCAGAAAGAACAAATTAGGATGGGGAGAGCTCCTTGTTGTGAGAAGATGGGACTGAAGAAAGGGCCATGGACAGCTGAAGAAGATAAACTTTTGATCGCTTTTATACGACAACACGGCCATGGAAACTGGCGTGCTCTTCCTAAGCAAGCTGGTAATTAACTACCTATATATATCCCCACTAGATACATATACGGCAAAGAAATACATTAATTTGTATTTCTTAAAACAATTCAAACTTTTTATTTTTTAAAGAAACTTGAAAAAGTTCTTCAAACTGTTGAACCTACAAGGGAAAAAAAAATGATATGAAAATTTACCAGTGTTTTCAAACTTATCGTTCTTTTTGTTTCAGAAAGCTTGAAAAACGAAAGCGAAGAGAATAAAACACAACCAGACATGCCAAATTTTTGTTTCCCCTAGTGCTAGTGCATAAAGTACTTGCAAATCCCACTTATTTCTTTTGCCAAAAAAAAAAAAAAATGCATCAGTTTCAGTTTTTATTTTATTTTATTTTATTTATTTATTTATTTTTAACTGGCTTCAGTTTGCTACTTGTTTTTTTTTTTAATCTTTGCATTTAACTAGCAAGATATATATTTATATATATATACATAATTATATAAAGTTAAGTTGATTATACAAATTTCAATCACTTCTTATTATAAGTTTCTCCTGAAATAAAGTGACTAAATTGTATTTTTTTACTTGATTTTGTTTAGGCCTATTGAGATGTGGAAAAAGTTGCAGACTGAGGTGGACGAACTACTTGAGACCAGACATTAAGAGAGGGAATTTCAGTAAAGAAGAAGAGGATACAATCATCAACTTACACGAAATGCTTGGGAATAGGTGTGTGTTTTTTTCTGCACTTTCTCTCATTAATTCAATTTACTTTATTCTCTTAGCCATGAATCAAACACCATCACATACTGATGATATATGGGTCCTCCCGTTCAATCACATTGATTTCGACAAATGTAAATATGAAAAATAATATTAATAATAATAAATTTGGTCAGAAAAATATATATGAAAAATCCATTAATAATAATAAAATTTGATCAGCAACGTATGTATGAAAAATTATTAGGTGTTTGACACAATGCTCCATTTTATTGATTAATTGATATTTTATTATATTATTTCTTAAAATACTAACATAAAAGTAATAAATTTTATTGTTTAAATCAACGATTATCAATTTATCATTTTCATATATAATATCTAGTGATAGACATCTTAGGCTAAGTTTGGCATATTACAAAAAAGTCAAAAAGTTACTCAAAAAGTTAAAAAGTTATCACTATACACCAAAAGTTAAAAATTACGACTGCACAACTCTCAATCCTAATTTTTCTTTACACAATAATTTATACAATTTTTTAATACACATTTCTATATAAAAAGTCAAAAATTTAACCCAAACATTCATATTTTTTCCTCAATTTTTTAGTCCAAAAAGATAAAAAGTGCACTTATTTAGGACACCCCAAACAGCCCCTTAGTCTTATATTGATTACACTGAAAGACCTTCGAATCCCTCGCTCAGGGTTTGGGTTCGAGTCTCCATAGCCCCTTGTTGGGGTTAAACATACTCCTTAGCGCCTGGAGCACGAGGGGCCTAAGCTTCGACCCCGACGTAGGTGCGGTGGGGTTCCCTGCAGATATGCTGTAGGTGCTAAGGGACAATACTCCCTGACAGATATATTGGAGTAACCTATTTGCATATCCATTTTTTGAATTAAAAAACAGAAAGAAAAAAAAGTGTTAACAATGTCGACATTGATTGTTACGGCCGCCGCAGTTGAATTTGATGATGCCACACAGTGGAAGTATTTGTTTCAGCTTTTCAGAGCCAACTTATGACTTTTAGCTTTGAAAAAGTTATTTTGGACTGTTTGGTTAAACTTATTTCAAACAGCTTCTGATTCTAACAGCTTATTTTAACTCAAAAAAGCTGATTCTGAGAAGCTGCTCACCCCTTGCTTCTGATTATCAACTTCTGCTATGGACATGTTAATTTATGGTTATACTCTTAAATTTTTTTATTTTTTATTTTTTTAAAAATAGAAAAAGACTCAAATAGACTATACATTATTATTTTTTTTTTTTATGAGAAATGTAGACAAACAAAAAATAAAAATTAATTGAAAAAGTTATTTCACAGCTTATTTAACAAACACTATTTTTTTATGAGAAATGTTAAACAAACAAAAAATAAAAATTAATTGAAAAAGTTATTTCACAGCTTATTTAACAAACACTACTCAGTAACTTAAATCTATAATCCAACAGTTACACCAAACAGATTAACAATTTCTGATTAAAGTCATAATCTATAATCTGTTAAACTATAATCTATAAGATGTTTTAACAGCTACACCAAATGGGGCCAGTAACTGCTTTCTTAATCAAATACCTAATTATCAATATGCTATATGTTGAAATTCATACGCAGAATGAATCTGAATTATACATTATTTTTATTAATAAAATTTTGAATATTGGATAAATTGAACCATTGGTTGCTATAGTTTTCGTGAGATTTTATTTTGTTTAATATCACTCTTTACCATTTCAATTTCATTAATTTTTACTCTACAATTTCATTTCCATTCCATATTGTAGTCCTTCCAAAATCATTATTGGTTAGTATTTCACACCCAAAAAAATAAATAAAAATATAAACAGTTCAAAATATTGGTTAGTATTTACTTTTCTTCCTTTGACAAGAAATGTCAAAATGTCTACGTGAGTTGCACGTGACCTCTCTCCGTTCAAAATATTAACAGTTCTTGAACAAATGCAATTAAAAATATGAAATTTAAATTAATAAAACTATAACTATCATAACCAAAATAAAATCTCAATAAAACAAAAGGGACTAAAGGTATAATTCACCAAGAATATTACACAAGTAGGGCTGAAAAGATTCTCTGTTGTGTCCACCAGAAAATTAGGCCAAATGACATTAATACTAATATCTATGCATAGATCATATCTTATTAGGCTTTTGTGCACTCTTAATAGTCATAATTATATAAACTAAAATATAATTTAATCAGATGCTTTCATGTATAGGGCCACTATAAATTAAACAAATATATAGCTAAACTTAATGACAAACTCCTGTAATTTTCTTATATGAACATATTTTTGTCCATTTTCTCGCAGCAAGATTACCGGGTCGGACCGACAATGAGATTAAAAATGTTTGGCACACCCACTTGAAGAAAAGGCTCAAAAATTATCAAAGCACCTCCAACACCAAAGGACAAACAGTGACAGAGCCCAAATGTGATTCCAATGCCTCGCGTGAATCCAACACCATGAATTCGGGTTTTGAGAGTTCTGAGTATGCATCAGTTTCCCCACAAGATTCTTCTAGTGAACTCTCATCGGTCACAGACTTAACTGGCTTTCCAAACAGCGCAGTCATTAAGGACAAATCAATGGACACATCTGAGACATTTCCTCAAATTGACGAAAGTTTTTGGTCCGAAGAATTATCAACCGGCAATTCCACCATGCAATCGGACTTTGCTGGTTTTACGGAGGAGTTACAATTTCAATTTCCATTATCTCCATCAATGACTGCTTCTATTGGTACAATGGAACATGTCAATGAGTACAACTTCAATATTGATGATGACATGGAGTTTTGGTATAACCTTCTCATTAAAGCTGGTGGTTTACCAGAATTATCAGAAATCTGAGCAGTATTTTTCTTTGTATTAAATGTAGCAAATATTAGAAAATTCGAATATTCTTGATACATTTGACCGTTAAAGAGGAGTTGAGATCCTCTTCTTGAGCTCCCTCCTCGAGCTCCCTCCTCGTATCCCTACTTGCAACGGTGAAGATGCACTTTGAGTTGATCTAATGGTTCATACTTGATTATTTAAAAATAAAAAAATAATAAAACAAATTCAAATTTACTTTTTCCGCTCAAATCTAGACCATTAGATGAACTCAAAATGTATCTCCACCATTGCAAGTAAGGAGGTAAGGAGAGAGCACAAGAAGAGGATCTAAACTCGTTAAAGAGGGGAGCGGCAAAGTCCAAACCCAGTTGCCCAAGTCCAAAAGCTATGGTGTCATTTTGTCAATAAAACAAAAAGCAAGTCCTTGGTGGTGAATATTGTTTTTATAAAGCAAGTGTACCTGAGTGGTGAGTTGGAGGGCCAAAGGGAAAATAAAAAAGTTATTAACTTGCAAATTTTTTGGTATACAGATGTATTTGAGGCTTTAGTGGGGGTAAATAGGGTGTAGAGATAAAAAAATTTGTAGGTTAGAAGAACCCTATGAGCCCTCTTTGAGTTGTATAACGATTATGATGACGACGATAATGATAATGAAAAAAATAAATTTACTTCTCTTTTCATTTGTGCCTATGGATTAAATATTAATTTAAAATTTTATTATATTTTATTATCAGAACTTAATAAAGATTATTTGTCCTAGTATAATTTCTTGTAAAATAATTTCTTGTGAAGTATTTATTACGAAGTAAATTTACAAGAAGTCATCATAGTAGAACAATTTTTTTATTCTACACATAAATGAATCAAGTCGAGTCAAGTTGAGTAAGGGATGTTCGAACTTGGTTTGAAAAAATAAAAATATATTTTTAAACTTGATTTGTTAGCTCATCTATAACAAACTTTAATTGATTTGAGTAACTCTGATTTTTTTTTTTGTTTTATTTTTAAATTTATATAAGAAGTCATCATAGTAGAACAATTTTTTTATTCTACACATAAATGAATCAAGTCGAGTCAAGTTGAGTAAGGGATGTTCGAACTTGGTTTGAAAAAATAAAAATATATTTTTAACCTTCATTTGTTAGCTCATCTATAACAAACTTTAACTGATTTGAGTAACTCTGATTTTTTTTTTGTTTTATTTTTAAATTTATATAGTTGTGTAAAGTGTATATATTTAGGGAAATTTAGCTATAAACCTTTTTTACCTTCCTTTCATTGTTAAAAGGACTAAGAAAAAAATTATACTTTCTAAACCCCTTCATAATTATAAAATCTTGCATAAAGGAAAAAATTTATTATTTAAATATTTTATAGGACTATTATACACTCAACTTTTGCATATATAATCGGCTTCGTCATCAACTGTATCATAATCACCATAGTTGCATCTTCCAAGCTTCAGCAGAAGATCGTCGACAAGCCGCCGCCATAGTAGCGTCTTCCAAGCTTTAGCAGAAGGTCTTCTCTTCATCTTCATAATCAGCAACGATGAGGCTTTGAGTATGTTGAAATTGAATGAGGATGTCGTTGGAGATTCGAAAGCTAGGGTTTCGAAGCACATGGAGATTCGGAGTGCGGTGGAGATGGCTCAATTGGAAGTGGAGAAGAAACATGATGAGGTTGTTGATGAGATGCTGGCGATGTTGAATGCGAAAGCTGAAGCTTCGAGATTGAAAGAAGTTGAACAGGAGGTTGGGAAGGATGTGGATGAGGAACAGTAGAATATATGTATATATATATTTGTGTGTATGAGTATTGTTGAACACATGTATTCTTTTTTATTGAGATGTGTGATTATTGATCGAGTTTTAGAAATTTTTCGTTTCAATTAGATATGTGGATTTGTTTCAGAGTAAAATTTTACTTTTAGTTTCAGAGTAAAATTTTACTTTTAGTTTCAGAGTAAAATTTTACTTTTAGTTTCAGAGTAAAATTTTACTTTTAGTTTCAGAGTAAAATTTTACTTTTAGTTTCAGAATGTAAAATTTTACTTTCATACAGAGTAAAATTTTACTTTTAGTTTCAGAGTAAAATTTTACTTTTAGTTTCAGAGTAAAATTTTACTTTTAGTTTCAGAGTAAAATTTTACTTTTAGTTTCAGAGTAAAATTTTACTTTTAGTTTCAGAGTAAAATTTTACTTTTAGTTTCAGAGTAAAATTTTACTTTTAGTTTCAGAGTAAAATTTTACTTTTAGTTTCAGAGTAAAATTTTACTTTTAGTTTCAGAGTAAAATTTTACTTTTAGTTTCAGAGTAAAATTTTACTTTTAGTTTCAGAATGTAAAATTTTACTTTCATACAGAGTAAAATTTTACTTTTATACAGAGTAAAATTTTACTCTGAAATATATAGTGAAGATGTCTTAATAGGAGAACTGATAGATATGAGGGTAATATAGTAAAAAAAATAAGTTTTAAAATATTAGGGGGTTTTGAAAGTACTTATATAATTCTTGTCCTTTTGAAAGATAAATTAGATAGTGAAGGGGCTATCACCAAATCCCCCATATATTTATCATGGAGTCGTAAGTTTAAAAAAATAATCACTATGTTGGTTCTATTTTTTTGAATTTTTTTTTTCAAAAATTAATTTGAAAACTCTGTTTGAAAACCGGGGCGACCGGTTGGTTAACCGGTTGGTCAACCGGATGGTCGACCCGTTCGTCTCATCCCAACGGTTAGGAACAGTGATTTGGTGAAATGCTTCGCCTGCACTCAGTTTGGTACCATTTTTGCTGAATTCTGAATTTGATATCGATTTGGTGAAAACGTTGGAGCTTAAAAAAGTGACTTTTTCACCAAATTTTAAATTTGATGCCAGGTTTGATTCACCGTTGGAGATGGTCTAAGATGAGAGTACTCTTTTCTTTTTTTTTTAAATTGTCTTTCTCCGTAAATTAGGGAAAAATTTCAATTTTAAAAATCCTCAAAATATCAAAATTGTCTCTCCCCTTAAAATCATCCACGTATCATTTTGAAAAGTGAACTGAGTTTTTGGAATAATCAAATGAATACTCTAAAATTTTCAAAAAAACGAGGTTGAAAAACCACAACCAAACATAACTTTTCAAACATTTTTAAGTTTGACTTGTTAAATCAATCTCAAAACATACTCAAGCTCCAGTGCTGTTGATTTGATTGTGATTTGCATCGTATCGATGGAAAAAATAAGGTTGCATCCGGTAGAATTTTTGAATTATAATTTGATAATTGGATTATATTTTGAATTTGTGAATTTTGAAATTATGATTTAAAAAGAAAAAATTTGTTTGGTTATAAATTTAAAAAAAAAAATTGAATTGAGTTTTGAAATTTTGATGTGACATATGAAATGAAAAAAATTGTTTGGTTATGAGTTTTGAAAACTTTTTTAAAATTCAATTCAAAAAAATAATTTGTCATTTTGATTTAAAAAAATAATTTCTATATTTAGAAAATATCAAAAACAAATATAATTTTTTTTTTCAAATAACAAGTGGCAATTGGTAATTGCAAAAAAAAAAAATGTTCTGTTCCGATCAACGGGGTAAATGACTGGCCGGACATCCAGGAGGATGTCCGGAGCGGACAACCGGGTAAATCAAAAATTCAAAAAATTTTTGCTTTACTAAACATGTTTTCAAAATGTGTCTTAAAATTGATTTAGAATCATGATTTGAAAACTTTTACTGAACATAGCATTAGAATATAAAGGTGAAATTAGTTTTAGAAAGTCTTACCAAACACAGCCCAACTTTTTCTTTATCTTAATGGAAAATTTCCCAATTTTGAAAAATCAACAGTTTCTTAATATGTTGGTGGAAAAATTCCAGTTTTCTTAGTATGTGAAGGACAAGTAGTTAAACTGTAAGTTATCAAAATGATAATAGTCAAGCTGGACCAGCATACAAATGTGACATTTAATACTTGCAACTGGTGAAAAATTATAGAATGGACCTCTGTGGCCTCTATAACCATCAACTGACTTGGTGACTTTCTTTTGCAGACTACCATTTTCTTTACCACCTTATTCTTTGCTAAGAAAAGTTTAGGTAGAAATTCACTGGATCTGGATGTGGTACTTAAAACTCTCTCTTTTCCTTTGAAAGCCTCACTGGATTTTGTTGGTCCTTTTTTTTTCTTTATTTCTTTATTTTTTTAATCAATAATACAGACATATATCTGGCTTATTCCTAGGGGCTGGGACAAGGAGAGCCTGCTAAGTGGCACAACAAATAGCCAGATGAAACAAATGGCAAAGTGTAATAAAAAATATACAATCTTTTTAAATCGTTTTAATATATCTTAAGAACACACATTAACAAAATTCTTTAATTAATAGGTACTGCCTTTTTTATCAAAATTTTCAATTTGCTCGCATTCGTCTTATTTTCATGTACGTACTCAATACTCTTATTCATCTACCTCTTTAGTAGTGGAAGGTTCTTCCTGAGAAGCCCACAAGAACTACGGCCCAAGTCCAACCCAAAAGCTTAAGCCCGCCAAGGCTTATATACTAGTGAGTCGATGTTATTATATGCCTCTTTTACTAGTGAAAGGTTCCTCCTGAGAAGGCCACAAGGACCACAGCCCAAGCCCAACCCAAAAGCTTAAGCCTGCCAAGGCTTATATACCACGCTTGGTCAGGGCCGGCCCTGAGGTTGAGGAGGCCAAGGCGAACTTTGAAAATAGGGGTCTCGCTTACATTGAAAAAAAAAAATTCATAAATAAACGATAAGTTATAACTTTTTTATTTATTTGTAGCCACAAAAAAATTTACTTGCACATATAATCATTAAAATTATAAACAAAACAATTTAATGAAACAAAATTAGGACAAAAAAATTAGAAAAAAATTATTCAATTAAAACTGATAAAGGCCTAAGTAAAAAAATTTGGACAAAATTATTTATTCTACTAAAATCTAATAGATAAAGAAGGTTAAAAAAAATAAAAATAGGACCCATATATTGTATGTATTGTTTTTCTTGGGCCCAAACATTTTTTTTATATATATATATTTTTTCATTTAATAAATATAAACAAAAAAACTACACTTATAAATAAGTATGGGCTAAACTATACATGGACTCAATAAATATTTTGGGACCCTTTAAATTGATCTTAAAACTAAAAAAAAAAACATTAAACCTATAATATTTTACCAAATTTAAAGACCCTATTTTGAGACCAAAATTTTGAGGCCTTACTGGCCTTAGGCCAGGGCCGGCCCTGCGCTTGGTACTTATGCAGTAAAGCCTTTTGGAAAGCAGAGTTTTTACTCGAAAAAAGTTAAAAATTATTACAAACTCACAAACCATTCTCTCCATCTTTTTGTACATTTTTTCATAAATAAATTTAAAAAATATTGAAAAAGCCTTTCTGTAGTTTTTTTTATAAAAAATTTAAAAACTATTGAAAAGCCAATTTCCAAACACTCCCGAGTGATGTGGAAATATTGCTAAATCCCTATAAAGAGTTTGAAAGCACGCATTATTTTATATTTTTAGTTTTTAAAAATCAAAATTAATTTTTTGATATTTTCTAAAACACGAGTTATTTTTTTTTTTTAAATATTGAAAATAATTGAAAATTTTGCATTTAAATAAGAATAATTCAAAATAATTACTCTAGTTTCATGCACTTGCATATGAATCTGTCTCCAGTGAGAGTATTTGTCTGAAACAACTCTTATTTGTTCTGACTTGTGCTCGCATAATAATAAAAAGCATTATTTGCAGACAAATAATTTTTAAAACTTATTTAAATTATTAAATAATTTCTACCCAATAGAATAAAACAAAGAAGTTGATTTTATGTATTCAACAAGTTTACCATAAAAATAAAAGAAATCATTCATGTAAGGCAGCAAGTGTTCTCATCACTACTGGAATTGATAGGAGTGATCTAAGAATCCGTGACACCACATAAGTATTGTGTCAAAAATCATGATTGTAAATAAGAAATCTTGGACAAAAACTTGCATATACAAATCTCATTCATTTACCAAGTAGAGGAGTTTATCTCTATCCTTCCATTAAGTGTTCACATAACAATGGCATTATTCAAAACCGTAGCTGTTTCTTCCAAAAACACACAAAAGCACGAGACCTACTACAACATAAAGGAGGTTAGGAGCAAATTCAAGAAAGGCAAGAGTGTGCCAGAGCCTTTTCCTCAGTAAGCTCTTCGGCGGTCAAGTCCAACTTTTTCCTTGAAAGATCATCAATTGGGAGACCTGAGACATAGAAAGGGCAGCAAAACACTGGTCAAGAATCCATCTAGAAAATCAGAAATTGTTGATCAATGATCACCAATATGTACATTTAGCCTAAACCTACTAATTATCTCTTATTGGTATTAAAAGTCCAGAAAAAATCATTAAACCTAGTCATAATAGAATGCAAGTGCTAAACCAATTAAATAATAACAAAAATATGAGACCAACTATTGGAAAATGTATAGGGCATATCAAGACATCATTGCAAATTTTTTTAACAAAAAGGGGAATATAAATGCCAACAATGAGGACTAGGAAAGGAACATATCAATATCACAGGTTGGATGCCTGTTTGTTCGAAATTGATTAAAATTAAAAAGACACCTAAAACATAAGACAATTGCTGATATAGTTTCTGATCCTATTACTTGTCCATGTATGATACGAAAGAACTATGCATTAACTTTATTAGACACATTCTGACCTTGAACAATTAACAGGGAAAGAATAAATAAGTCCAGCTGGCACATTGTATGAGCCATCAGAGTATACACCCATAGAAACCCAAGTTCCCTGCAATGTTCCAACAGAAGAAAAGATAAGCAAAGAATGTTTTCGCTCAATACATCCCTGAACATGCAGCAATAGAAAGACAAGGAATGTGTAGGATAATTTTCGCTATAGAAATGTAGGCTAGGCAAGAACAAGAGCAACCTCTGGAGTTCCATGGACCCAATCACGAATGTGGTCACAAGCAGAGCTAGCAGCAGACAATGCGCTAGACAACTTTCTAGCCTTGATAATAGCAGCTCCACGCTGTTGGACGGTAGTTATAAATTCTCCATGCAACCTAAGGAAGGAAGTGCATCATAACTCGAAGTGAAAACCATAAAATGTTGATCGATGCTTTAACAGCAAATCCAAGCTAACACAAACACAACGGCCAAATATGATATTTATACTTTCTTCATACCATTCATCATTAGCAACAAGCTCACGGACAGGCTTCTCTCCAGCTGGTGTCTTGACAGTTGCATGGTTGACATCAGGATACTGAGTTGAGGAATGATTACCCCAAATAATAACATTTTTCACATCGGATACTGGAACATTCAATCTCTCTGAAACTTGACCAAGGGCCCTGTTATGGTCCAACCTTGTCAAACAAGTAATGTTTTTCTCAGAAATTGATGGTGCAAATTCCTTTGGAATCAACGCATTGGTGTTGGCAGGGTTAGCAACAACCAAAACCTGGAAGAAACAAGAAACAAAAGTTTATCTTCAATAGAAAAAGATATTAAACTTCTAACTACACTATTGTAGAAAAATTAAAATCAATCAATCATCTAAAAATTTTAAACCTTACATACACAACTAAACAAAATAATTAAAATCAATCAATCATCTAAAAATCTTAAACCTTACATACAAAACTAATAAAAATAATTAAAATCGATCAATAATCTACATGCAAATATGAAATTAATTCAATATCAAATAAATATAAATAAATAAATAAAAACGAATTAAATATAAATCAAGAAAAGTGAGTTTTGTACTCACAATATTTTTTTAAAAATTAAAAAATTATTTAAAAACCTAATGGAACCACCAAAACAAAATCCTAATCCTTTTTCACCTTCTTCCGCCGTCCCTCTTAATTCCTCAACTCCACTCTTTGATCTTGATCTCTCTCTCTCTCTCTCTCTCTCTCTCTCTCTCACACACACTCTCTCTTTCTCTCTCTCTCTCTCATAGAGCACTCTCTTACGGCTGCACTCTTCTTTTTCTTTGTCTTTTTTTCTTTTCTTTCCGCCGTCCCTCTTAATTCCTCAACTCCACTCTTTGATCTTGATCTCTCTCTCTCTCTCTCTCTCTCTCTCTCTCTCACACACACACACACACTCTCTTTCTCTCTCTCTCTCATAGAGCACTCTCTTACGGCTGCTCTCTTCTTTTTCTGTCTTTTTTTCTTTTCTTTTTTCTTTCTTTTTTTGTTTCCTTATGAACTTCTAAACCTAGATGAATACTTACATTATATTATATATATCATAACCTAATTTCTTATTATATTATATTATACAAATAAATCACATATATAAATATAATTATCATATACAAAATTTATATCAATAATTTTTTTTAATATACATATATATAAAAATATTCAGATTGATTATATATAATTAACTAATACATTAAATTAATTTAATACCACGCTAAATTCTCATGTAACCACATAATTAATAAAGTCAAAAATATAATAATAATAATAATAAATAAAGGCTTACAAAAAAAATTAGGGTCACTACACATGGGTTAAAAAGTCTCGTTTATGTTAGAATTTTTTATTTTTTTTGATAATTGTGAGAGAAAAAATGAAATAAATATGATTTGGATGTGATATTTTATTTTATCAACTTTTTAATCTATTTTATTTCTTATAACTATTTTAGCCTAATAACACCATGCCAAATGAGGACTTAAGCTAGATTTTTGACTTTTTTTTAAATTTTTTTATCCTTTTATATGTAAAAAATATGAAAAATGATTTGATTCAAAATAGATTAAAAAGTTAAAATCTAACTTTTAGTTAGCTGCCGAATCACTCCTTAATTTGCTTAAGACAAAACAAAGAAGTCCATAAAACAGTATGTGAAACTTCTACGCGTATACGAAAAAGGTAAGTAGCCAAAAATATTGACTTTGACCATCACTGTCGAGTCATCCAAAAAATGCACTCATCTCTCTGGCTTTCAATGTTTGACTTTGGTCCAGTTTGTGCTTTTTGGGTGAATGTTGGCTTCCTCTTGGGTTAAATCTGTTTAGCAATTAATTGTTCCGGAGTCTGATTCGCTTATACTATAATGTTCTCACGGAAGGTCCTTTTTCACGTTAAAAAAAAAATAAATAAATATTTCTTTGATTCAATAAAATTAAACATCCGTAAATCCAGCACAACATATTCTTCACAATTCAGTCATATAATTTAACTTTTTTTTTTTTAATAATTTGTTGAAGATATATCATATATTACAAATTTTATGAAAATTATATCAAAATGAACATTAAACATAAACTAGTCCTGTTAGTTCTTTCAGTTAAAATTAGGAAGCCTTATTTCATTCCATTTTTTGCTTAAAACTCCATAATGAGTTGTTCATTTGTATGAAGTATGAACGATTAATTAAAACATAATTTGTCAAAATTCATTGCTTTACTATAAGTCTATAACCTAAGACAATATTTTAGTAGATTTTGTGTGTGTGTGTGTGTGTGTGTGTGTGTGTGTGTTTAAGTCTCTAATTTTGTAATTTTACATCTTAAGAATTTTTTTGTTTGTTTTTAATTATTTTTCCATATGATTTTACTGGTGAAAAAACCAAGTGCGAATTGAACCTTTTTTAATTGCTTAAGGTTAGGCGTTAAAGGTTATATATGACAAAAACTAAGTTTGAGTAGCATGATGGCCAAGAAAGAGGGTCTTTGCTCAAAACCCCAAATTAATGGTAGATTACTTACTCATCTTACAATTCTTATTCTCAGCATTACATTCCACTCTTCTTGGTTTTTTTCATTGTTCATTGTCAAATATTAGCAGCCAATACAATCATCAAATCCACTAAGCACCAGCATTTGGTTTTCCTTGCTGGGTGAAAACAATACAAAAGAAGTAACAATTAGTTTCAACTATGGCAAATATTTCAGCAACTATTATGTCAACATTAGCAACAAATACACATGTTATTAGAAGTAACCATTAATTTCATTGGCCTGGTGGTATTAGGGTTTATTTATTTATCTATTTATTTTTTATCAAGAATCTATGCTAAAAAATTTATTTTAGCTGTTATGAGTTAAAAATGATATCATGTATAAATTTAAAACACTATACATTAGAAGCAAGATACAGATATATTTTAGCTACAACTTTTTAACTATAAGGTTTCAACTTGTAAGAAATTGTACAAAATTAGACTTTTATTTACCTATAATTAGTTTAGCTACATTGACACCCAATATGAGAGAAAAAAAATTTACAATTCTTGTAATTTTTCTATTATGTCAATTTGATTCATATAGTTTCAATTATATCAATTTTGCCACATAAAATTTTACGTTGGGTTAATTTAGTTCAATCAATAATATCCATTAAGAAATTAAATAAAAAATAAAGGCAAATGGTTCATTTCGGCCATTTAAAAGGAAATGGATTATTTGAGATTAGATGCTAACACTCAATCACTTTGAGTAGGGAAAATGAATTTTTTGCTCTTTGATTTAATGTAATTTTTAAAAAGATATTATCAATTAATCAAAATTAATATAATATAAAATTTAAGAGTAAAATTAATGTAATTAAAACTATAGTTAGTAAATTAACACAATTGAAAACCTACAATAAAAGAAATAAATTAAATAAATTAAATTATGGATTGTGGGGATATATTTTCTTTATACCAACACGTGGCATGGTGACGCCGACGTGTCAGCCGAGGTGCCACGTGCCCTGGTAGTTAAGCCGAGGTAATCTCGGAGAAGCCGAGGTCATCTCCGAAGATATCGGAATCCGAGATAAGGGGCAAGAGTCCTAAGGCAAAAAGGGGACTTAACCAAGATAAGGATAAAGCTCTTAGGGAGTTTATCTTTATCTCTTAAAGAGTCCAGAGTAAACAGTAAATTAGAGTTCATAGAAGTCATACTTCTAGTGGGACTTGGATTGAGTATATTATAAAAGAGAGGCACCCCCATGGGTCTAAGGTATGTAACATATACTTTGAGTATTCAATTTAGTACTTGATTTATCTTTGAGAGATATACTGACTTGATCGTCGGAGTGCCCCCGGGTGGAAGAACCACCGCCTCTATGTTTGTAATTTTGTGAACAAACAGAGAGAGCGAAGAAAGATGCGATTAGAAGCGCGATCCGTGTTTCGGATCTGTAGGTGGATGCTGCCACCGTCATGAGATTCGTCAAGCAGACCGATCGGTGGCTTGCCGCTTCTCATGCTATCAACACTGCCATCAAGGTCCCTCCAATATCATCACCACCACTTTTTACCAATTATATAGCAAGGTTTTGTTAGATTAAAACTGGAATTGGAGTTAGTTTCACCTAGAGAAAATTCTTGGATGATTAGAGCCATATGCTTTTCAATCATAGATTGAAGAATGGTCATTACCATTTGCTTAGTTTTATGGCCACTTCTGCTGGTCTACAATGCTTGAGGTAGTTTAAGCATTATGCTCTATTTTGTTCACTATAATGAAGTGAAATCGCATAATAATGATTTTATCAAAATGTACATTCTCATGTTTGATCTTCTAAAAAAAAATGGATAAAATATATATTACAAATAGAATCATCAGCAATCATTATTGTAACGGAATGACAATGTCCTTCCATTCCAATCCACATTCATTTCAATGTACCAAACGTTGCCCAAGTGTTACTTGGTGTGTGCTTTTTGCTGTGGGATTAGTGAAAGCCTCTTGATATTGCTAGATGTGTCCACTCTATACAATACTATTCGTTTTGGGCTAAGCCCACAAGGCTTTAAAACGCATATAAGTTACTCGACACATGCGTCACTAGGCAATGTGAGATTTGGCACTGTGGTCCAATAGACTACTCCAACACTTTGGATACGGAAATGAAATTTTGTTTTTCTTAGCACTTGTTCGACATGAGTGCACGGTAGGGTTGAAATTATTGAGCTCATTCCATTAGATTTGTGGCTTTGAAGGCACTGCTATCATGAAAATACATCCTTGAAGGCAATGGTGAACACAATGGGCTTATTCCTTCATAATGCATGAAAATGAACACAATGTCTAAAATCGTAATTTGCAATGCGTGAAAATCAGTATCAGTCTGGAATTGTTTGTTTGTAGCTAAGAGAATCTTCATATATTGATGACTAGGTGTGTTATGAAGCTTGTGACAAGCTCCTTATTCCTTACTTTTTGCATGAACCAGAACCTGGAAAGTTTTGTAAATCAGTTAGCAGAGTTTTGAAAGAGATTACAGAAATTTGGTGTGGATTTAGCTTGCACAGGAAATTGGAGATTTTGAGAACTGGATGAGGACCATGGAATTCGATTGTAAAAGCGTTAGTGCTGCAATATACAACAAGCATAATCTTATAGCACTACAAGAAAAGTGGTCTGTAACGGCGCTTGAATCAAGACGTTTTAAAAAACGTTGTGGTATACTGAATAGTCAACACGTTTTTCAAGGCGTCATGCTCGCCGTATTTAACTTAATAGACATTAAACCCCATTCCAATTACAAAATAACACAAAATCTCTCTCATACACGGCTCTTCTTCATTGAACTCGATCTCTCTCTCTCTCTCTCTCTCTCTCTCACAAATCGCAGATCCGAACTCGATTTGATCTCTCTTGCATTTTGTTAGATCTATTCTTGCTCTAGCTTTTCTTCATCGAACTCAAACTCGATCTCTCTCGCAAATTGCAGATCCGAAATCGAACAAGAAAGTCTATCAATTTAATTGGTGTTTGATTTCTTTGTAGGTGGCGATGAAATGTAGAGATCAGTTACATGAACTTGTAAAGGAAGAGATTGAGAAGAGGGATTCGAGTACGGAGGAGTGGAAGATCGTGATGGAGAGAAGCTTCAATCGCATGGACAATGAGGTGATTGCAAGGAACGACAGCGTTCTGCGCACCGAGAAATATCGATCCGTTGTTGAAGGATCTGAGTGAGAAGAAGCAGAGCTTCCGGCGGAACGTGGTGTCACTGGCGGTGGAGCACAAGGAGGTCCGAAGCCGTCTCGCTTCACAGGTGCAATCATTGGCTCTTCAAACCCTAACAAGACAGGCATGTGAATTTGTATATTTGTTTATATGTTTCTATGTATATTTGTTTGCATCTGTGTGTACTTTGGAAATAAAATAATTTCATTTCACCTTTTTGTTCTTCTCTGTAAAGTGATGTTCTTTGTGGGACCTTCTCTAATTTTGTGTATTTTTGGGTTTTTTATTATTATTTTTTTCCCTAGGCAGAGGCCAAAGCTAAGAAGATGGAGGATGAGATGTATAGATTACAGGAGAGCTTAGAGGAGAGAAATTGCAGCTTCAAGCATCAACATCTACTGCTGGGAAGGTATGATTTTGCTCTGTTTTCTTTTTATGCACTTGATTGCATAGCTTTCTCTTGATTTCTCTTAATTCCATGATTTGGTTATACAATTGTACTGTCTATTGTGTCAATTTCGTTATTATAATTTTAATTGCATCAATTCAGTGTATCAATTTACACACCATATACTTCATCGTGATGTCAAGGTTAGTTGCCTCTCTATGTGATTTGTAAAGTTTTAAGTGAAGTGTTATATCTCTGAAATCTCAATGGTTGTTCTGTACTGCTGATGTTTCACACTTGCTTCAATGTTCGAATAAATTTCTGACAAAAGATCAGGACATAAGCCTAGGTAAATGAAGTCTTACCTTATTCCTGCCATTCCTGACTGCACCTTTATAATTTTGTTAATGATAATTTTGTGTTATTTTATTAGAGGTATTAAAATATATTTGGTTGCAGGTGATTTTGGTCTTGCTAAGATGTTGACTTCCGATGATCTTGCTTCCTCTGTGAGTATCTAAAATCATTGTTTTAGCTTCATGTCTGTTCTTCTGTATAGTCTAAATCGATCATCCGTTTCTTATATTATATGCTAACAGGGGATGCATGTTGCTAGTTAGGTTGGCTGCACAAATCCTGTTTCTTATCAGCTGTGTGTGATATCTCTCTTTTCCTTCTATTGTAATTAATTTTCCTTTATTGCCAATAAGAGTATCCTGGAAAAATTCTTTAAAGTCTGATATATATATATATATAATACTACCCCCATGGAACATCTGTAGAAAGGCCATAAAAATAAGAGGCTTTGCTTATAAGTTATATCGTTTAGGCAGTGGTAAAATTAGTGGTAAGCTAGCAACATTGCCACTGATGAAAACTTGTCAATAATTTTCTTGGTGGAATTCTTACACTTTCCTTTGTAATCTCAGTAAATGGACCTATCAAATGGACCTATCATGAACCGGCAGCCAATCTCGGTTAGAAACATCCACCCTGCAATTGTCAAAGTTGTAAGACTCATAACTTCTTTATTTATTTATTTTTTGCTTGCTGCAAAAAAAATAAAGGTGGTTTGCAAAACTATACCCAATTGACTGAAGTTTACAACAAATACAAAAAAAAAGGTATGGAATCTTTCATTCACTCCATTTTTGGGGGGTTTTTGCTTTGTCTCTAAAAGTATATAATAACCGGAATAATTCTCTTTATATTTGTGTAAACTTTTCAATATAATTATTGAAATACACTCATAAAGTTTTAAGTTTTTACTTCAATTTTACATTTTCACTCATCTTTTATGTTTTCATCTGTGTTGGGTGGTATATGCCCCTATATAAAAACCCCATAGGTGTTAAAATATTCATATACATGAGTGTGTAAATTTTTTTGATTGCATATACATTAGTATATATATATTTAAATTACATATACATTCATCCATCAATTTAAAATACAAATTTCAGTTTGCCCCCATGTTCAACTCAAGCTTCATGAACTTTAATGGCCAACAATAAAACCAATAAATTTTAAATGCAAATTTCAATTTGCCGTTGGTCTTGTTGAATTAGCAGGAAAAAATAGCATAGGAATTATTAAGCATAAAAATAAGCAGAAAACATAATTATGTGGTTTACCTTCTTTACCCACCAAAATGACTGTACTACCAAAATACCCAAACAAAATAATACTACCTACAAACCACAACTTAATAGATATGATACCACGGCATAACCCTTTAACTTGCTTTTTTAATAGAAAATTTCCATTTGGAGTCGGTTTGCAATTTTGGCCTAAATACTCTACTCAAGCAGCACTACTCATTCTTCTTTAGAGAATCAACTCTATTACTGTCACAAGAAACATGCTCTCCCATGAGAGGAAAGCCCTTCAACCCTTGGGCATATTAAAACCTTGGCATGCTCAAATTCTTAACTCTAAGCCTCTTTTAGACCAAATTATTACTGCAAAGAATTATGAATTATTTGCCCGCAACAATACTACATAAAAGAAAAACCAACATCTAAAGATAGGAACTTGAGACAATTTCTAACAAGTTCACATAAAGAGAAAGGCCATGAATCAATTAAAGCAAAGAGGATTTGACAAAGGCATTGGACAATGCATGGATTTTAGAGTGTTGTGTCATTCATTGAGCTTCAGAAGAGCATTTTAATGTCTACTTGAAATGAACCAAAAAAAAAAAAAAATCTATTGTTATAACTTTGTTATTAGATAGCTGGCACTTAAAGTAACATTCAAGATCATAGATTTCTACTGCGCATTTATGTGAAAATAATGATTGTGCCATTCAATGGTGTTGCTCTTGATTTTCAAATATTTAAATAAATAATAGGAAAGCCCAAAAAGAGAAAGCAAGATAAAAGAAAAATAAATAGAAGGCTGGGAAATAGTTGTTAGTACTTCTAGCTTTACAACTTCTTTTGTTTCATTTTGTTTATTATTTTATTATTTTTAACTGGTTCAACTTACCTATTGATTTGAAATTGAAAATTAAATTAAATACGTTAGATGTTACTTATGAAAGAAATTGCCTACATTGTTTGGCTTTATACATAGCAAGTAATTCCCCATGAGTAGAAACATATGGAAGTGTATTGATTCTTTAATTAGAATGACATAGCTAGCGGTTTGTGGTTTACCTAATTATTGTTTTTGGTGAAATAAAAAGGGGGAGGGGGGGGTTGTGCCTCTCATTCCATACCACTATATATTATATTCTCTACAATTGTGAATTAGAGTGAAAGTCTTTTTAAAAAGTACCTAATTACCTATAAAAGCAATAAGTTGGTCATTTTCACTTATGGTTCTTTGGGGTTGACTTTTAATGACATTTGATCATGGTCATATGCTCAGATTCTAAACTAGTGTCTAATTTGAGCAAGATGAGACATCTGGATCTAAGTTATAATAATTTTGACGAGGATGCCTTCAGGATTTTGGGTGCTCTCCATCCCTTAAGTTTCTATCCTCAGTGTCCAATAGCATGGAAGGACCACTTTCTAACCAAGGTAGGTGTATTTTTATTTCTCAATTCATGCTGCATAAGTTAATTTTTTTAGCTCCATTTGAGTGTTGAGAAGACTTAAAATAGTTGGAAAAATGAAGTCTTACAGCTAGCAATTTGTGCAAAATTATAGTTCTTTGTCAAATATATCTTTCTGGAATCTATTACTGCCATCAATGGCATCATTGTCCTTAAATTTTTTTAACATTACATTTTCATTTGAATTGAGCTACTAATTGAGGTGCCCATAGAATATAGTTCACAAACACAAATTATATTTATCTCTATTTTCTTTACTCAATCTAATTAACGAGTCCTCTCACTTGGGTTACATGTTGTTTAATAATCAAATTTAAAATTCCCTTCTTTTTTTGATATTTTATTGATACCATCATTATTATTATTATTAAAGTCAGCCCCCTAAGTTTTAAATTGGTGTTGGTTGCTTCAGCCATTGTTCTCTTTCAATTAGCCAGCATATTTGTGATTTTTTAGGTCTTGTTTGTTCCTATGTTTACTTCGATTGTAGTAGCACTTTCATTTCAAAATGCATCTGCCACTGCCAGTATAGAAGTAGAATAGTGTTTTGCTGATTTATTTTTCATTTCTACTCATATTGTGTCCTCTATTGAAATAAATTAGTATGAAATCTACGTTGACTTCGATCATAGGAATACAGAGCATGGATTCTGCGAGACTGAACGTTTTGAATTATTTGTTAACAAGCTGAAGTATGTCATAGCAGCTAAGGATTTCTATTTAGTTCTTTATTATTGTTATTTTTTTAAAATAGTGATTTTCTAAGGATATGTATATATATACTTATATTTATATTTTTTTCCTTGCATGCCATCTATGTTCTGTACGTAGGTTTGCAATGCATACACGGAGTTGAATGATCCTGTGGTACAACGCAACGGTTTGTGACCAACTCAAGGTATTATGATCATTAGGAATTGAATCATTGTGGCATGTAAAGTCATGTTGTGTGGGGGTGCCTTGACTGAAGATTTTTGTATGATTAAATTTCAGGACTGACAATCCAGGTGATGATGAAGCAATGGCTTGGGATGAAACATTTTGCACAGCTCTCGAGTATGGTTTTCCCCCAACTGGTGGTTGGGGACTGGGTATTGACCGACTAACAATGATGATGACAGATTCGAAACATCAAGTGTTTGTGTTTTACGTTTGTGTGGTTTGTGTGAAATGTTCATGTGTTATTAGTTTGTGGTTTTGGATTTCCTTGCTGGTGATTTTTCATTTGTTTAATTTATTGGTAGTGTTGGTTTGGTGGGGTTGGGGTTGGGTGTGTTTGGCTGGACGTGGGAAGTTTCACATTCTACAATAGAAAGTTTTTTCGACTGAGCTTTTTTACTCAAGTGTCAATTGTTTTGTTTTTTGGTTTGGGGACAGGAAGTTCTACTCTTCCGGCCATAGAACCTCAGGAATGACCTCTGCCTAAAGAACACATCCAAACAGCTTCTGGCTTGGGTCCAGTATAGGTTTTCAATCTGCCAATATGCATGCAAATTTGCCTACAGAAGGTTTACTTCTGTTTTGGTTATGCATTTAAATCTGCCAAGAAACATGCTGTTGGGTTGGATTATTTAGTACGATATGTTTTATTACTGCTAACGGTTTTCTATACATGCTGAAATATTGATTTCCTTGCAGTTCTCTAGATTAGTGGGATGGAGCAAACCAACTTCTTATTTCAGCAAGATTCATAGGTACTATGATTCTGCTTTTATGTTGTGATGGAAGTTCAAGATCTTGCAATGATTTTTTGCCAAAATAGTCGTTTGAATCCCTAAATTTCTTTTGCATGGTGTCTGTGTCCTATTGATTTTGTTTGAGAAGCTGAGTCCTATTGATTTTGTATTCTACAATTCTAACATTTTGTGCGTAATGCAGCTTGTCCCTGGTGGTTCTCCTGATCAAAATGTGTGGTGGTATGCAAGATTGCTTTTGTTAGCGCCGTCAGATTGGCAGATCTAAAGAAGAATGCTGATGGACAAGAAAGTCTGGTGTTTGCTACTTTAGCTGGTGACCTGGTAGTCCGAGGACTAATATTACTATCAGTTGTTATGACATTTTTTAATTTTTTAATTTTTTTGTTGGTTCTTGTATTTGAAATAGAGAGTTTATTTGCATTGATGACTTATTCTTAACTCAGTAACTCTCCAATGACCATATGAAGATTTCTAGGGTGCAAGAAATATGAAATATTTTTGTGTAACATACACGTTTGATTTATGTGAATGTTTTGTTTTGCACAATGATTTGGACTATCATTTTATAAGATTTTACTATATGAATGGGGGTTATTATTTATATTAGTACTATTTTAGTTTTATTATAGGTATTTTTTAAAAAAATTAGCACAATTTTTTTTTTAAAGAAAGGGCTATCACGGCGTTTTTAAAAAACGTCGTTAAATAGTTGGGAAAAAGAGATGTGGTGGCGTTTTAAAAACGTCGCTAAATAGCATGGTGACGTCATGTTACAATTAGTAGATTTTTTTTTTTATAAACGCCGCCTATAGTAATATAGCAACGTTTTTAAAGCGCCATAGAGTTATAGCGACGGCGCATCTTCGACGTTTAGTGCTAAACGCCACAAAAAGATTTGACGGCGTTTTTTAAGACTTATAGCGGCGTTTTTCAAACGCCTCTAAAACCCTAATTTCCAGCAGTGTAGGGACAAAGTTCAAAGCCATTCATCGTGCTTACGTACCTTAGAATCATGGTGATGAGCTCTGGGATGGGGATTGGAGCAGAGATTTTGGACAGCTGCGGGACAGTTGGTTTTTTTTGTTTTGTTTTTCGACTCTTTTCAAAAGTGTTGCCCATTTTTTTTGTTTTGTTTTGTTTTTGGTAGTTCCTTGCTTCAACTTGTGGAGCTGCCGCTAGAAATTTTTAATAAATAAAATATTGATTATTTATTTGGATGAATATGAATTACTTCCATTATATTTAATGTCATTGGCTAGGGCTTTATCACAAGCACAAAACATGACATGAATGGCAGGCACATCCAAACCTTGCACTTCTTTTGTTTGTCGTTTTCTTTCTTTCTTCTTTTCTTTAAGAAAGCTCTTAAACATTAGAACCATAATTCAAAATTTTCCCAAGTAGAACCTCATCTCATAGCTAGTCAATAGTTTCTCCAGAAATAATAATAATAATAATATATGTAATGTTCACAAAAGAGATGAATGTTCAAATCAAAATAATTAGAAGGGGGGTAGTTAGAGCAACTTAACCAATTTAATTCATCAAAATATACTTAGTTTTTAAATTGTTATCTTCTTCAAAAAGATTTTGACTAGTTAAAAAATATATATATATATATATATATAATAACCATATATAAAAGTGTACAACTGTGGTATAACACACTATTCCTAACGCTTAATTGCCTCGAATGTGGCTCATAGGTCAGTCAAAGCCCCAGCCGAATGTGTGTGTGCGTTTTCAAAAAAAAAGTGGTTTCTTTTTGTTATTTTGTGTGTTCAAATGATGCGTCTAATGCTCACAATACCATAATTGTCCCTATTTCTATGAGTGAAAGTCTACAATTGCCCTGGTGTGATTTATTACAACTCACATCTATGACAGTGTAGTTGTTTGTTGTTGAATTGGAAAGATGGTGAGCTGTCTCCCAGAGACCACCATCTATCCCTCAATTGCTTTTCCAAGAATTCTCCATATGCTACAAGCGGAAGCAGTGGTTAGGCCCAAAGAATTCACTTACGTGTCATTTTCAACTCTTGTTCCCAATTTTCTGGTTTACGTGTCTTCTTGGCTGTGCGCCGTTTGAGTGAGGTAGGTCTATGTGTCTTTTCCGTTTAGTATGCAACAGAACCAGGTCGAAGCCCACCATCTCTCCCTCCTAGAATTTTCTTGTGTTCGGTGGATTAAATTTTGCAATCAAACGATTCCTCTCAGCCACATTACAACAAAAGCATTTTTGGTGACGTTTCTTAGCAACCAAATTGAATTTAGTTGCCAATTGTATGTTTTTTGTGGTGACAATATACGTGTTGGTCCGCCAAAAAATACACTATTAGCAACAAATATCTCAATTGGTCGCCAAAAATGGCTGCGCCATTTAATTTGTGGCGAGAGCACTAAAAAAGTTTTGGCGACCAAATTAATATATGGTGACGAAACTGTTTGTCGCCAATTGTGACTTTTTGGCTACGGAAATTAAAATAGTCGCTGAAAGGTGAATGATATTTATGGCAACATAATGATTTTCGTCGCCAATAAATATCTTGTAAAAGACGTCGTTTTGAATCTGTCTTTTTTTTTTTTTTTTTATGACCTTTAGTTGAATAAACAAGATTGACCTAATAATATTCATCTCATTTCCCTCTCCCTCTCCTGAAGCGGCACAACAGAAGATAGCCTGAAGCGGCACAACAGAAGATAGCCTGAAGCGGCACAACAGAAGACAAAAGAGGTATGTTCTTCTCTCCCTCTTCTTCGTCTCTCTTCCCCCTCTTCCCCTCCCTCTCCTTCTCCCTCTCAACTCTCACTCTCTCACACTGTCCTCATCTGCTCTCTTTCTTCATCATCAATTTCATTCTCTTGTTCGGTTGCAGACTAACACAACACAACATTGAAGTAGTGGGACTTATTTTCCCCTCACTCCTCTCATTTTTTCTTCTTTGTCATCAATCTAATTTTTCGGACTGATTATTCTGATTTTTTCGACTAATATTATGATTTTCAGGGACTGATATATTCTAATTTTTGACCTGATTTTGGAACTGATTTCGGGACTGGTATATTCTGAATTTCAGACTGATTTAGAACTGATTTTTAGATTTTGGGACTGATATTCTGATTTGGTATTTTTTGGGAACTGATATTATAATTTGGGACTGATTTTGGGGCTGATATTTTGATTTTGGAACTGATTTTGGAATACAGGACAAAC